CCCCTGTCCATTCGGAGGGTACTCGGGAGGGCAATGGAGTCCAGTTCCCCACCTTCAGGAAAAACCATGTTCTGTTTTTATCACCCTGTTTCATTGTTCCCAAGGAATATAGATAGGCCAGGGCATCTTTCTAGCCAAGGTCTCTAGCCACGACACAGACAGCAAGAATCTGCTCAAGAACCGAGCAGGGTAGGGCGCAACTAAGTTGCTCCAGTCATGGGGAAACAAATTTAACCTAGGTGCTGTGGGGTAACTAGAAGGAGAAGTGGAAAGATACCCGCCTCCTTGCAGAGGAGAACAGTCACTGGGGAGGGGGGAGGCCCTCTGTAGCCACTACAGGCTTCGTGGGCCAAGCTAAGCAAATCAAACAGGAACCTGGAGGCTCAAGGAGGAAATGCCACAGAAGTCTTGCACAGGACGCTCCATGAGGCTGAAGAAAGGTGCCTGAATGTCTCGGCACAAAGCAAGCTGACAGTGGAGAACAGATGTAGGAGAGAGGCGGGTTCATCGAGGACCCATTCAAGATGGTAACAGGATGCCCAATTATCAGTTCTTTATTCCTTTAAGGAGCTTACCTAACAGAATTACATGGCATAGTGACTAACATTTTAATAGAGAATTCCATGTTATTTTAATTAATAAAATTTTATTGGGGCACCTGGGTGGCTCAGTTGGTTGAGTACCTGCCTTCGGCTCAGGTCATGATCCTGGGGTCCTGGGATCGAGTCCCGCATCCCTGCCCCCTGAGCAGGGAGCCTGTTTCTCGCCCTCTCTCTGACCCTCCCCCTGCTCATGCTCTCGTTCACTCTCTCTCTCTCAAATAAGTAAATAAAAAAAATCTTAAAAAAAAATTTTTTATTAATTATATTATTTTTCCTCCTTATTGTTTATTGTCATAAGAACACTTAAGATGAGATCTACCCTCTTAACAAATTTTTAAATGTAGGACACAGTATTGTTAACTTTGGGTGTTAGGTTCTACAGCAGATCTCTAGACTTACCCATCTTGCATAACTGAAAGTCTGTACCCTTTGACCAATACGTCCCCATTCCCTTCTCTCCCCCATTCACCCCTACCCCTGGCAACCACCGTTCTACTCTCGGCTTCTAAGAGTATGACTCTTTAGAAACTTCATGCAAGTGGAATGTTTTTGCATTTGGCAAGATATCCTTTTTACTGAAAAAATAAAGCTGAATAATATTCCAATGAATATACATATACCACATTTTCTTTATCCAGCCATCCATCAATGGGCATTTAGGTTGTTTCCATTTCTTGGCTATTATAAATAATGCTGCCATGAACTGGGTGTACAAATACCTCATCAAGATCCTGATTTCAATTCTTTTGGATGTACACCCAGAAGGGAGATGGCTGGATCATATGGGAGTTCTATTTTTAACTTTTTGAGAAACCTCCATGCTGTTTCCCACATTCCCAGCAACCCCGTGCAAGTGTTCAAACTTCTCTACCGCTGGCTGACACTTATCTTTTACTTTTTTCATAATAGCCATCCTAACAGGTGTGAGGGGACATCTCACCGTGGTTTTGATTTGCACTTCCCTGATGGTCAGTGATGTTGCTAATCTTTTCATAAACCTATTGGCCATTTCTTCCTTGGAGAAATGTCAAGACAAGTCGTTTGCCCATCTTTTAATTGGTGGGTTTTTTCGCTATTGAGTTGTAGGATTTCCTTATATATTTTGTAAATTAACCCTTTAGCAGATATATGGTTTGCAAATGTTTTCTCCCATTCCACGGGGTGTCTTTCATTTTGTTGTTTCCTTTACTGTGCAGGCGCTTTTTAGTTTGATGGAGTCCTACTTGTCTATGTTTGCTTTTGTTGTCTGTGCTTCTGCTGTCCTTTCCAAGAAATCATTGCCAAGACCAGTACCAAGAAGGTTTTCTCCTATGGTTTCTTTCAGAGTTCTGCAGTTTGGGGGTCTTATGTTTTAAGTCTTTAGTTGAGTTGGTTTGGGGGTATGATGTTAGACAAGGGTCCAGTTACATTCTTTTGCATCTGGATATCCAGTATTCACAACATTTATTAAAGTGGTGATCCTTTCCCCATTGTATGTTCCTGGCTCTCTTGTCTAAGATCAGTTGGCTGTATATGTGCAGGTTTATTTCTGGGCTCTCTATCCTGTTCCATTGATCTCTATGTCTGCCTTTATGTCAGTACTATAGTGTTTTGATTCCTGTAGATTTGTAATATATTTTGAAGTCAGGAAGTATGATGCCTCCACTTTTGTTCTTTGTCAGGACTGCTTTGGTGACTTAGGGTCTTTTGTGGTTCCATGTGAATTTTAGAATCATTTTTTCAATGTCTGTGAAAATGCCATTGGAATTTTGATGGAGATAGCATTGAACCTACAGACTGCTTTGGGTAATATGGACATTTTAACACTATCAAGTCTTCTAATCTACAAAGATCAGATGCCTTTATATATATTTGTTTCTCCCTTCATTTCTGTCATAGATTCTTTGTACCTTTCACTGTTCAGGTCTTTCACCTCTTTGTTTTAAGTTTACTTTTAAGTATTTTATTCATTTTGATGCTATTGTGAACAGGATTATTTTCTTAATTTCCTTCTCAGATAATTTTCTTAATTTCCTTCTCAGACAGTTGTTAAGTGTATAGAAATGCAACTGGTTTTTCCACGTTCATTCTGTATCCTGCAAGTTTTCTTAATCTATTAGTTCTAATAGCATTTTTGATGAAGTCTTTAGAGTTTTCTGCAAACATAATTTCACTTCTTCCCTTGTGGTCTCCATGGCTTTTATTGCTTTTTCTTGCCTAATTGCTATGGCTGAGACTTCCAGTACTATGCTGAATAGGAGTGAGAGAGTGGGACCCCTTGTGTTCCAGATCTTAGAGGAAAAGCTTTCAGTTCTTCACCCCTGAACATCTTAGCTGTGGGTCTGTCATATGTGGCCTTTATTACGTTAAGGTACGTTATTTCTATACCTAATTTGTTGAGTTTCTAACATGAAAGGGTACTAAATTTCATCAAATGCTTTTTCTGTATCTATTGATATAATCATATGACTTTTATACTTCAACCTGTTAATGTAGTGTATCACCTTTGTTAACTTGTGTATGTGCGACCATCCTTGTATCCCAGGGATAAATCCCACTTGACCATGGGGTATGATCCCACTGATGTGCTGCTGAATTTAGTTTGCCAGTATTTTCTTGCAGATTTTTACATCTACGTTCATCAGAGACAGTGGCCTATAGTTTTCTTTTCTTGTAGTGCTTTATCCGGCTTTGGTATCATGGTAAAGCTTGCCTCATAAAATGAGTTTGGAAGTGTTCCCTTCTCTTTAATGTTTTGGAAGAGTCTGAGAAGGACTGGCATTAATTCTTTAAATGTTGGGTAGAATTCATCAATGAAGCTATCTGGTCCTGGGCTTTTCTTTGTTGGGAAGCTTTCGATTGCTAATTGCTTACCATCTGTCTGTTCAGATTTTCTGTATCTTCATAATCCAGCCTTGGTAGGCTGCATGTTTCTAGGAATCTGTCCATTTCTTCAAGGTTGGTTGACATATAATTATTCATAATAGCCTCTTTTGATCCTTTTTATTTCTATGGTATCAGTTGTAATGGCTCTGCTTCCATTTCTGATTTTATTTACCTACATCTCCTCTGTTCCTAGTTAATCTAGCTAAAGGGTGGTCAATTTTTTTTTTTTTTAAAGATTTTACTTATTTATTTGACAGAGAGAGGGAGAGAGACAGCGAGAGAAGGAACACAAACAGGGGGAGTGGGAGAGGGAGAAGCATGCTTCCGGCCGAGCGGGGAGCCCGATGCAGGGCTCGATCCCAGGACCCTGGGACCATGACCTGAGCCGAAGGCAGACGCTTAACGACTGAGCCACCCAGGCGCCCCCTAAAGGCTGGTCAATTTTGTTTATCTTTTCAAAAAACCAACTCCAGTTGTGCTGAATTTTTCTATTGTTTTTTTCATTCTTGATTTCATTTATTTCTGTTCTAATCTTTATTATTTCCTTCCCTCTGCTGGCTTAAGGCTTTGTGCTCCTTCTAGTTCCTGGAGGTGTAAAGTTAGGTTGTTTATATTTACTGATCAAGGCAATATTATAGACCAAATGGACCTAACAGATACATAGAACATTTCACTCAGCAGCAACAGAATAACGTTCTTCTCAAGAGCACAGGAGCATCCCTCAGATATTTCACATCTTAGGTCATGAAACAATTCTTAACAAATTTAAGGAGACTGAAATCATACCAAGTATCTTTTCCAACAACAATGGAATGAAATCAGAAATCAAAAACAGAAGGAAAACTGGGAAATTCACAAATAAAGGAAATTATAAAGCCTGCTCCTGAATAGCCAATGGGTCAAAGACATCAAATGGGAAATCAGAAAATATATTGAGACAAATGAAAATGAAAACAAAATAACTACCAAAATGTTTGAGATGCAAGAAAAGCAGTAGTAAGAGGGAAGTTTGTAGCGGCAAGCACCTATGTTAACTTCTCATCTTAACACATGAAGCCCCTAGTGTATTTTCAGTGCGCAAGCATGTTCTACTACCACCACCCACTGGCAGTGTACCTATATACAGGGCCCAGTTTTGAGTAGGCAAAAAAAACCCCTTTGAGGGTAGAATGTGTTAAGCTGAAGACAAGAAGCAGTGAGCCTTGTGACAGTGGGATGAACTACCTGGTTTGATGCCTGAGAAGCTGGGGGAATGTTAGTGATGCCCGGAAGCAATGAAATTTCAAGGCAGAGCTGTGTTCACCTGACATAAGGGGGCACTCTACTGATTTTTCTATTTGCCCCACCGATCAGATTTTCTTCCTACCTCTTATTTACAGAAAACAACTACTGCAAAGGTAGCAATCGCTCTCTGAGGAAGAGAAGCAATTCAGATTTCCAAGACGCCCCAGCACTGACAGCCAGGGCCAATGTCATCACCCACCACAGTTTCACGACAGTCACCACGATTCCCCAGAAATCCCAGCTACTCACCAAGGTTGTACCACATGTCTCTGATTTCGAAGCCAATCTGCCTCCTCATATCTCCATACCTGAGAACCGAGGACAGGGGAAATGCTAAGTCACTCTTTTGAGCATTTGGAAATCAGACTTAGATTATTTTTAAATGCAGTGAAAGTCTCCCAGCGCGGAGACAAACAAAGAGAGTATCAAAGCTTCTCTTGCCACCAAAGAGAACTGAAGGAGGAAGAATCCAGCAGAGGGAGCCTCACCTACCCATCACCCCATCACCCCAGATTATGTAACACTCTTCCCACCCCCCCACCCCCACCCCGTGGGAACATGAGCAAGGTGGTAGAAAGTAAGGGCAGTATTTTCCTTCTTTTCCTTCTTCAGTCTCTAATGGCAAGAGAAGGAGGCCCTGGCTCCCTGGCCTGAGGGGGAGCTCGTTTTCAGAGTGTGCTCTTAGCAGCCAGACACCAAATGACATCCTCCAACCCTGCTCACAAAAGCAGCTTTCACATGTTAAAATTAGCCCTGGAGTGGACAATCAGAGCTGGGAAGGCCTCTTTCAAATATCTCCCATCCTTCTTTAGCATTTTCAATGTAAGGAAGGGCTCTGCACCAAAAGATGTCAACAAATATTCCCCTGTTTTTGTTTATCAGGGAAAATAAATGTTAATTTTCCTCCCACAGGTTCAGCAGAGGAGGTGTGTGTTTCATGAGTAAACAGAATTTGATGCTTCAGAAGATAAACGTTTATTAGTTTGTGAGCAATTTAACTTTTTCCTTTATTGCCTAAGGAAAAAACTGATTATATTAAAAATAATAATTTGCACAATTATCGTACAGGATTACAGTTTAGCAGCTGGGTCATCAAGCTGCTCTGTTCATCCTCACGTCAGCTGATGTGGAAAGGGAAGCTGTTTACAGATGACCTGGTTGTGGCTCTCAAGGCAAAGAGCCTCCTGGTAAACCAACAACCATAGCTGGCTGCCACCTTATAAAAGTCTCTAGGGCCCTAAGCACCCGTCTGTCACTTTCGGCAGGAGAGGGCTGCAGACCAACATGCTCTCCACCAGGGAAACCGGCCTGGCAACCCTGTCACAGAGGTCCCCCTGCGGCCGCTGCACCTGCATGGACCCACGGCCCCGTGTACAGACAGAGCAACTGACTTGGGAGCATCAGCCCCTTCCTGTGAGGACAAGCTTGTCCTCGGGGGTAAACGAGTTACCTTCCAGCCCAGCCTGACAACCAGGTGAGTGATGATGTGGGTCAATTCGGTGAGTGAGAGAGGGGGGATTTCGGCCAGGGAACGCACCCATCACCAGTGCCACAGTGAGGAGAGGCCTGTCCACTGTCAGCAAAGCTACTGGACCAAGCCCGTGGGTGAGAGAAGAGCATCCCCCAATGTCTTAAGTGGCACCCCACATCGCCCACGGTCCCTATCATCGAAGCCCTCTTTAGTTGTGCACCCTTCCTGGGCTTGTTGATCCTGTTTCCCAATACCCATTTTGCTCCTGCACAAATGACAGAGGGCTCCCAGCAGCCCAGACTGGGAGAGGATACGGTAGGCCTCCTCCCGGCATCCCCCGGGGAAAAGCACCACGGAGCGTACAGCCACGCTCAGACCTAGTGCTCGTGCTCGCTGTGCAGGTGGACGAGTCGTCTCTCAGGAGAGTGGGCATCTGGTGAGCCAGGGAGCTCCGCATCACAGGCAGGACCCCCCAGGGCCTGCCAGTACGTGTTCAGATCTCGGCACACAGAGCCGGCCAGAGCCCCCCCGTGGAGGTGGGGCGAGCTGGTCACAGCAGTTGGCCTACCACTGACCGACTAACTCAAGCTTTAAATACTCTTCCAATAGCCAAGCGATTCCTTCTCATCCTGGAAGAATCTCTCTCACAAAAGAAAAATGGCTAAAATGCTAGGCGGTTTGGGTCATGCCGGAGTGACCCAATGTCTGCTGACCTGCAGTGATTTGCCATTTCTCCAGAGCTGGGGTTAACACCTGGATGCCAGGAGGCCCATGTGGACAGGGAGCCTCCACCACTCCTGCCTCTCCCTGGACGTCCCCTTTCCTTACGGTGCTGACAGAGGGTGCGATGCTCTGCACTGTGAGACATTCCTGGCCCCCTGAACTGTGAGCATTCCAGGCAGATGGACCAGCAGGTGCAAAGGCCCCGATTCGTGTTTTCTAGTTATGCTATCCTGTCCCAGATGTGGAAAATGACATGCCTTCACAGTATTTGAGGACAGGGTTATCAGCAAAGATCCGAGAGCGCATCCCTCACTAGAGTCAGGCCTGTTGTAGCAAGGGGCTAAAAATGCCATTTTCATACGCAATTAAGACAAAGGTGCTTAGGGCCAGAACAAAGGTAACGACAAGGGGAGCAAGGAGATCGAAGGTGGGCGGCCAGACTGACTCTCTGGCAGCGAGACTGATCTTTAGTTTTAATAAGACAGCAGCTCTGCTGAATCTATACACATCTCAGCAGAATCCCCCAATAAGGTTACAGCTACCACCAGAACTCAAGAGGGATTCCCGAACTGTTCATACCTTCTCCCTGGGGAGGAGAGGGCAGCAGCGATGGAGAGTGTCGGGGCTCATGCTCGTTACCTGGTCACAGGCTCCCAGGGCTGGTGGCAGCTTATAGAGCAGAGCTAAGTTCAACTCTCACAACTTACACTTGAGGGAACAGAACCGGTCCTAGAGGGAGAAGCCAAAGGACTCGGCCAAGTCATAGGCAAGGAGAGAAGAAAGAGAACCCAAGTCTTCAGACCCCAAGGCCCATGCTCTGCCCTACGGCACACATCTCAGGGCCTGGCAAGTCCGGATCTCCCCGACAGCATGGCACAGTGCTGTGTCACATCTCTCAAAGGGCACTGGTCTCATCTGACTCTGGCAACAAGACCACCAGGTGAGCAGAGGGAAGCTGTCGTGGCCCTCCTTCCACTGAGGACGCAGAGAGTCACGGTGGCGAACCGCCGTGCCTGACCCCACAAAGCCATAGCAGCAGGGAGCTGGAGTCACCTGGCACTTCCCATCACACCCGCCCACCGTGCCCACCTACAAGTCAGAGAGCACCTGCAGAATGGGGCCCAAGGGGGCCTCAAGGAGGCAAGCTTCCCCCAGCCCAAGTGAATATAGGATCCCACATCCAGGTCTGTAACTCTGAGCTAAAATAGCATGAATCAGGTCTCCAGGGCCTTATCTCAGCACCTGGTTTCGTGAATCTTCACCCAAGAAGCAGAAAACCCATGTCCACCACAGATAGTCCAGGCTTAGGGATAAGGCTTGACCTGAGCCCAAATCTAAGCACTCTGGGCAAGTTACCTGGCCACTCTGACCCTCAGTCTCCTCATATATAGTACTGGGATAATGACGTATGATGTTCATCTCCCAGGAGTTTTTGAGAATGAGAGAGATGATGTCCTTGTATGTCCTAGTGAGCACTTAAGCCAGGCTAGGTGCTTCCTTTAAAGCTCACACTAGGCCCCATCACAGCAACCCCTTCATGGTTATGATGGTCATTTACATTGATCCGTTCGGGGAACATTACTCACTGATTCGTTAATTACTGAATACTCACTAGAGGCCAGGCTCAGAGCTAATATGGGAATATTAACATAACATGGAGAACAAAGTCCACAGACCTTGGGGGGCTATTAGCATGGTAGCAGAGATGGACATTAAACATAAAATCACACTAGATCAACGCACATATGTACATACAACAGTTCTACGAAGGTTGCGATCATGGCCCTTTAGGAAAAAACGAGGAGTGAGAGTTGAACAGTGGGCCTAGGCTGGCCATGGCAATTCTCTGGGACAACAATTTACCCTCAGATCTGAAGAAAGAAAGACGTAATCCAGGCAGAAGGGAAGGAAGAGCATTCCAGGCAGATGGACCAGCAGGTGCAAAGGCCCCGAGGCAGGGAGCGGGTAGGTAAGGATATGGACCAAAAGAGGACATGTGGCTGGAGGACAGAGAACCCGCTCCTTCCTCTTAAGAGACCAAGGGGGGCGGGGCGCCTGGGTGGCTCAGTTGGTTAAGCGACTGCCTTCGGCTCAGGTCATGATCCTGGAGTCCCGGGATCGAGTCCCGCATCGGGCTTCCTGCTCAGCAGTGAGTCTGCTTCTCCCTCGGACCCTCCCCCCTCTCATGCTCTCTCTCTCTCTCTATCTCATTCTCTCTCTCAAATAAATAAATAAAATCTTTAAAAAAAAAAAGAGAGACCAAGGGGGATGCAGTGTGAACAAAGGCCACAGAGGCAGCTTTTTAAAGTTTAAGTTTCAAAATGCTTTTGAAATAAGAAATACATTTTACTTTACTAACCAGCACACATATAAATATCTGTGTACAACTGTTTTATGAAATAACACTTAACCTCACTACCTTCAGTAAATTCTGATGCTTTCTTATATTCTATTTCACTGAAAAAAAAAAAAAAGCATGTTGGGCATGCCTGTTGTGGGTTGAACTGTGTCCTCCACAATAACATGTTCAAGTCCTAAGCCCCGGGACCTGTGAAGGTGACCCTATCTGGAAAGAGGGTCTTTGCAGGTGTCACCAGGTTAAGATGATGTCATACTGGATTGCAGAGGTTGGAGGGGAGTTGAGTCCCAGGACTGGTGTCCTTACAAGGGGAGGAAGATTTGGAGACATGGGAAAGAAGGCCCCATGAGGCCATAAGGAAGAGCGTGGAGGGATGCAGACAGAAACCAGGAGCGCCAAGGCCTGGGGACAACCACCAGCCGAGGGAGGCACAGAACACGTTCTCCCTCCGAGCCTGCAGAAGGAACCACCTCTGCCCACACCTTGGTTTGGATTCCTGGCCCCCTGAACTGTGAGACAACAAATATCTGTAGTTTTTAGCCACCCAGGGTGTGTTAACTGTGAGGACAGATGATTGTAGGAAACAAATACAAACACCCATTAAGCTGCCGTGGTGACCGAGGAGGGGTTGAGATGCAGAGCTCAAACACGCCATCTGAAGGAGGGAGGATGGAAGGAGAAGACCCAAGACCAAGGCATGAGGGGCGCCCCCACTGAAAGGTCTGAAAGAGGATTATGAGCCTGACAAGGGAACA